CTGCTTTCTCCAAAACATTGCATGGAGGCAGCGACCAGGGAGTCCCACTTGAGTAGGATTTGGCATTTTTCTAAGAGAGTCACGTCAGTTGGAGATTATGTGGGATCTGTACTTGGGCATGGAACGATTTATTGCTAAAGTCAGTTATGAAGGCTGCACAAATAAATACATTACTTCACACTGTGCCTTGAGAGAGATACTGGTGTGTTTTTTTTTTTGTTTTGTTTTTTACACTTTTAAGATGAGCTTGAGCTATTGGGAGTGTATGTTATTTGCCCACAGTCAACGAACTAGCAGGAGAAAGAACTGGGCTTGGAATGTAGGCAGTTCAGCACCTGAGTTCATTAATCTCTTTGGTATTTTCTCCTTGAGCACTGGCAACTTTCTAGAATCATATGTTTAAAGTAGGTTAGGACTTGATTGTGGGCTACCTTAAGAGCAAGATTTAGGCTATTTGTTAAATTTTTGAAGTTGTTTTCTCTAGTGCTTCTTTTGTTTTATTCCAAGTAATGTTTATATGGTGGAAGTAACATTATGGGAAATTTAGAAACACAGAAGAATAAAGAAAATTTTTAGTTATCTATGACTGCAGGATGTAATGATAATCATTGTGAACATTTGTTGTAGTTACCTGTGAATTTCTGTTTAGTGGAGGTTGTTTTCTTTGCTACTGATAGCACAGATCAGTGGCCTTTGCATGAGTTGAGAAGAAATGCCCAGCCTTGAGCTTCATATGAGACTTTGTAATTTAGAACTTGTGCAGACAGGACCCAAGAATCTACTTTCCAAGAAGTCCAGGAATGATTCTTGTACAAGTGAAAATTCAAGAAGCTCAAGACAGGGTCTTTTTTTTTTTTAAGATTTATTTATTTATGCATACAAGTACTAGGGTACAGATTAGAGGTGCAGAGGATGAGAGGATTCATCAAAGACAGAGTGGGGAACAACAGACAAGCTGATTGAAATACACTGTGAAAGGGAGCAATAGTGAGACAGGAGAGGTCTGCTGTGCCATGTGGGTCACCTCCCTGGCCGGGGATCCACCTCCTTCTGCAGTAACTGCAGATAGCTTTATAGTGCTGCACTTTAACCCCTTATGCCACCAGGGAGGCCCCAGTTTTTATTGTTTTGATTTGTGGAGAGTTTTTTTTTTTTTTAAGATTTTTACTTATTTATACATACAGAGCTGTGTGCAGGCCAGAGGTGTAGGGGCAATGAGAGTATTCACCAGAGACAGAGTGGGGAGCAGACCAGGCAGATCAATGAAGTACACTGCTGAGGGGAGTAGCAGACAGGTCAGGAGAAGTCTGCCACACCATGTGGATCACCTCCAAGGCAGGGGCCAGGGATGGATCTCCCACTAAAGGGATGCAGATGGCTTGCAGTGCTGGGCTCTAACCCATTGCGCCACTAGGGAGGGCCACTTGGTGAGAGTTTTAATCAGTGATGATTTGTTCTGGATTGCATGCTAGAGCAGAGGATTTTGATGAGTGAATATTGGGCTAATTTTTGTCTAATAAATGAAGGAAAGAAAACGAGACTGGATTTGTCACTGTTAATAAAGTAGTCACTCACGTTAAATGGGAGGAGCAGCTGGTACCTATCAACTCCAGAGCCAACTCTATGTAGTATTGTCTCAATTTACCCATAACCTGAATAAGAGTTACTGCTGCAGGCACACTGGTGATGGGGCCACTGTGGGCTGCTGGGCAGGTTGTTTACCAACTACTACTGGGAGAAGGGAGGCGTCTCTGGTATCCATGCCAGGCCCTGCAAAGCAAGCTGCATGTCCTCTTTACCACTGCACACAGAGCAGCCACAGGAGTTAGTGACTGACTGGAACAGTGTCCATGACTTTCTCCTTTCCCAGTCTCTCTTCCTAGGACTCTGCCTTTCCCCAGGAGGAAAAAGGAGAAATGAGCATGTTTAAGGTGAGTAGGGCTTGCCTTTCTTGCTGCTGAAAAATGTCATCTCAGGTCTCAGAGATTGGATGGGGTTTTTTTCTTTCAAGGAGAGTCAAGGCATTTGAGGATCTTTTAAGGTTTGTTTATTTATGTATAAACAGGCCAGAGATGCAAGGGCGGTGAGAGGATTCATCAGAGACAGATTGGGGAGCAGAGCAGGCAAATTGATGAAGTACGCTGCTGAGGGAATCAGTAGGCGAGACAGGAGAGGTCT